CGGTTGGCCCTGGCATAGGACCACTCTGGGACCATGGGAACACCTGACACAGAGGAACCCTTTGGACCAGGCCAGGAATCGACAACAAACATAGGTTATGGCAAGCAGGATCTGCCTGCTTGTTGCCCAGGTCTTGCAGAGATGTCCTGGGGGTCTGGTACAGAAAGGTGCCTCCTGTGGCCGGCCCCACGGGCCTCTGCTGTGGTGAGGAAGCGGGCAGAGTCACCTGGCTCCTCCCCTGGGCTCACTAACTGCTATTAAACACTGCCCTCAGCACCACACCCCAGCTTCCCTGGGGAAAGCCTTCAGGCTGACCGGGAAAGAGCTACCAGCAGCTTCTTGCTCCATTTTGTAGGGCAAGAGCATCCCTGTTTGCTGTCCCAGACAGAAAGGGTGTCCAGGCGCTGATCTCTACCAAGGGGCTCCAAGGACTCATGTACCAAGGACACGGATAGCAGTTTCTTGGAGAAGCCAAGAGGAAGCAATGTCCGTAATGGAGTAAGCTGTCTGCCTGGATCTCACCCTCCACCTCAGGTAAGAGCATGGGCTGGGGCACCTACCATCCTCTGGGAGCTCCTGGTGGGCACTAGGCGTCTGTGTCATGGTGAAGAGGGTGTCAGAGATGTCTGAGAGGAAGCTGTCCAAGTCAAAGTGCTGCCTACCCCCGGGGTCCTCTTCCTCATCCCCAAGCAGCATGGGCACCACATTGCAGAATAGCTGGTTGCACCATTTTTCTGTTGGCCTCCAGACATCCTCATCCTGCATGAGATAGAAAAGGAGCCCAGTCGGCATCTGAGCACGTGAAAGGGCCCATGCCCTGCTCCCTCTCTCTCTGGGTGGCTTCTGAGCTCCTTGATGCATTTATAAGCCAGAACTTCAAGGCTCGTGTGTTTCTCCTCTTGGAATGGAGAACCTGCCATTCAAAGTGCTTCCCTCAGCGGGCCACCATACCCATTGAGGGATTTAATACCCTGGAGTTTTTGCCCTCCCTTCTCCCAAACTTTTCAACGCAGGCATCCAGACGGTGCCCATTCCCCCCCCTCCACCGAGCCCTTCCCAGGGGACTCACCCGCTTTGGGCTGGAGAGCTCACCCTCCCGGCTGGACTTTCGGAGCTGCAAGGCGAACACAGCATGTCAGCCCTGCCTGGGGCTGGCACTCCCGGTGCAGGGCAGGGCTAGGGGCAGGGCAGGGGGCAGCAGGGCTCAGGACAGGGGTCTGTGGGGAGCTCTGCAGAGCAGAGCCTGGACCCTGCCCTCGTGCCCCTTGGTCACCCACCTACGTTGAGAGTGGAGGCCCCCACGCACTGCCCGCTCTGGGGTCTGGCTGAGGCCACCATGGGTTCACATCTGCCTTTATTTTACAGGGCCCAGCCCTTTCCCTGTGATGCCAACAGCCGAGCTGCGGCTGCACTGGTGGGAGCCCGGCGTAGTGGTGCTCAAGGTGTGCAGGCTGCTGGCACCCTGACCCGGCTCATAGCACCCTGGGCTTTATCAGGCCTGAGCCGGCAGCCAGGGAGGCGGCTGGCATCACGCTCCCCCCCGCGTGGCCAGTGGCCAAGGGCCACGGAGCTGTTCATGAGGCCGCTAGATGGCAGGCCTGGAAAGCGGGCACCTGCCTGGGGTCACCCTGGGCCAGCCTGAGCCTGCCGGCAGCACGTGCTGGTCGGATGAGCTGCGGGTGAACCGCCGCTGCCAGCAAATCGCAGCCCAGCAGGTAAGTCGTTGGCAAACCACGGCCCTGCTCAGCCCACCCCGGCACGTGCACCATGGGTGCACTGCCAACCACAGCCTGGCAAACCCTAGCTCCGGATCATGCCACAGGCAAGGCTGGGTCATCCTCGGTCAGATCGCAGGGCTGCGCATCGCAGCCTCTGTGCGCTGCCAGGGTCTCGCTGTGGCACTGCCCTGCTGGGAGCCAGTCTCTGCCTCCTGCAGCAGCCGGGAACCTGCCGTGGCAAGTGCCAGGCCAGCGAGCTTCTCGCAGGGGTGATGCCAGGAGCCCTTACCAGCCATCACACCCCTGCCACGACCGCGGAGATGAGCAGCGGGGACGGCGCCACTCACCCGCTTCTTGTAGTATATCCTCCATTTGTGGTACTCCCTCATCACCACCTCGATGCGGCGCTTCCAGTAGTTTCCCTCAAGGACGACAGCCTGGCAGAAGCAGGGTGACAGCGGTGTCACAGCAATGTGGCATCCCCAGGCCCAGGCACGACAGCACTATAGCTGTCCCTCCAGCCTGCTCCTAGCCATGAGCTTGCAGCCAAGGCTGATTCCCTCATGCTGCTTCAGAAACACCTTCCCTGGCAAATATTGCAAGCTCTGGGAACTTGGTGGCTCTGCCAACTGTGATGGCCCCAGCTCCCACCCATGCATTCAGACCTGTCCCTCATCCATAGAGCTGCAAGGGCCCTTAAGCTACCTCTGGTTTTCGGTGTTCATCGGCCTCTGATCCCTCCAGGGGAGTGACAAAGCCGCATATGGGATTCTTCCTCCGTTCCACATCTGCCAAGGGGAAAACAGTCAGACTTTAGTCCCAGCTCCTGTCTGCTGAGGGAAGGAGGCCTGGGCATATAGAGCGGCACCTCCCCTGGCGCTGCCCCGGCCCACACAGCATCACCCAAGATGCAGCAGGAGGAAGGAGCCTCTGGGACCACATACTCACACTGGATGTACCACGCTCTCCAGATAGCATTGTTGAGACGGATTTTATCCCGGCAAAGCAGCCGCAGCCCCTTGAAATTCTTCCACTTTGGAGACACCAGCTTCCCACTAAAATACCAAGCAAAGGAGAGGCTGAGGAGGATCATCCCAGAGCCTTCCTGGTCTGGGGCCTCATGAGGATGGATCTACTGTGCCTTGAGGCAGTCCCAGGCCTCCACATAGGTGCTAAGTCTAAAGCACGGGCAGCTGGACAGCTCAGTTGCACAGCTCAGTCAAACACTGAATCTGGGAGTAAGCTTGAGCCCCTTTTTAATCTTTAAGAGCAGCACAGATGTAAATGGGAAGCTTCACAAGCTCACAAGCGGCTTCCCAAACCCCTGGGATTAAGGCACAGCGTATGGGAGAATTAATCATTGAAACCTGAGATGCAGCTGGTGGCGGGGAGAGACCCTGCACCCTCCAATGAGGACCAGCTACGTCCTGGCACCGGCTGAGGTCAGAGGGAATTCACAAGCCATCCAAGACACCAGCATCATGTCCTGCTGTGGCTCTTGCCACATCATGCCATTTGGACAGACACTCCTAACTCTGGGCAAGACTTGGAAAGCAGCCCTTCAGCTGAGCAGCCAGGCGCAGGGTGGGCAGGGGAAGGGGAGGTTGCTCGGATGGGGTTTGGGAAAGGCCGGACAACAAGCCTGAGGCCATCAACAGATGCCTATGTCTGCCCAAAAGCATCTGTGTCCCCCGCTGCAAAGCCGGCTCCCTCAGCAGCGAGCAGGCCTGCGTTCCTCATCTCCAGCCCCACTGACCTGGGCCCTGCTCCCGCTTTCCTCGTTTCCAGGTTCCGGGAGGCGGCAGTGTTTGTTTTACAGCTTGTTGTGGTGGTAGTGATGTCCCTAATGGAGCAGGCAGTGCTGGAAGCCTCATTTCACTAATCCAGGTGTGGCACTCGTTTCCGTCTAGCCAAGAGACATGTCGCCCTCACGTGCAGGCAGCAGCACCGCATGGAGGGCTCCCAAGGGCCCTTCTGCTCAAGGAGTTCGGCAGAGGAAACTGGGATCCCTCTACCTTGTCATGCAGCACTTGTCACCCCAACCAGCTCCCCTGCCCCATCCTTGGCATTCTCCCTCAGGTTGGTTTCAGGTTTTTCTACCAGGTGTCACTGTTCTCCCACCCTCCAGGGTCTGTCCTGTGGAAGGGCTGATCTTTGCTTGACTTGCTGATGCAATGGAAGTACCTTTAGAGAGCAAGCTGGAAGCAGGGCAGTACATCTCCATGAGAGATGTTGTGCCAGAAGCCTGACACAATCCAGGTCCAGATTGCCAGCACAAGTCCACAGAGCACAAAGCATGGGTAAGGCCACAACCGTGCTTCTTCCTTGTGCCAGAATTTTTTTCCTTATAGTCCTAGGAGTTGCTTGATTCCCTCTACACTCAGGGAGGGGAAAAGGTGGAGCCTGACTCCAGGACTGAGCATAGGGATGCCATATTTCTCCTCTGCCAGCATCTGCTCAGGTGCTCCCTGCAGACCCTGGGGGAGTGTGCAGCAAGGCTGTCACCCCGGGGAGCTCTGCAAGCAATGCCCTGCAGCACAGCAGGCTCAGACAGGCAGGGCCAGCACTTCCCTCTGGAGTTGCTCAGGGACTGTTAGCCACCTGGGACTATGGTGGAAGCCCGGAAATCGCTCCTGTCCTGCTCCATGGCGCAAGGTCAGCGTGCCATCTTAGCCATTGCAGTAATGTGTCCGTGCCAGGCAGCAGAAAGACCCTGGCCGCTGCAGGGAATGGTGCTGGACAGGGAGCAGGGGACAGGGAGGAGAAGAGAGCGCTGCCATCTGCCCCTTCTGGGGCTGGGTGGAGGAGCGGGGCCCTGGAGATGCCTTCCAACTCCAGAGGAACCATGTTGGGGAGCAGGTGCCCTCACCCACTGGGATGGAAGGGGCCAGTGCCCCCAGGAGATCCAAGACTGCCAGCCGCTCACCCAGCCCCAGGCCCGCTGCACCCGCACCATGGTGAGAGCCAACGACAGTGGCGGTCCCATGGCCCTGCTGCGGGGTCCTCCGGCTCTGGAGCATCCTGCAGGGTGAGACAAGCCCGAACCCCGTCTGAGGAAGGGGTGGGTGCAGCTGAAGGCCATGGCCACAGAGGCCTTCCCCACACAGGCCGTACAGGTGCTCCTCGGGGGCTCGGGGAAGGGCGCCACGTCCCTGCGGCTCCAGCCTACAGAGAGTTAAGGATTTGGCTACGCACCGGCCACTCTGCTATCACCGGGGGGGTTGGACCTTTCCC